GAGAGAGAGAGAGAGAGAGAGAGAGAGAGAGAGAGAGAGAGAGAGAGAGAGAGAGAGAGAGAGAGAGAAGACAACAAACGAGGGGCCTACGCCACGGAGCACAAGTCCAGGCTACGCAGGCAGTTTGGGCCCGTGCGCGGTGTTGTTGTCTGTTTTCGTTTCTGCACATTTGTTTTTTTTTCCCCCCTCAGGAGGCCCAAACGTTGTTCTCTTTTTTAGATTCTCTATCTTTTAATTTATTCAAAGGGTGACAGCCTTGATCATAAGCCCCTGGCTTTTCAATTCAACTGATCACACTGGAGATTTGAGCTCAGGTCTGTATATTAACAGTTCATCAGTGTACCATTCGGCCACATGGGCTGGGCGTTGTTCTCTTTTTTGTTTCTGCACGTTTGTTTTTAGAAACTCCTGTACTGAGCTGCTCTGAGGCCATTGTGAGGCGTGGCCACTTTCTTCAGTAATTTTTCTTCAGTACTTTTTGTTATCTGGAAACTGTCATTGCCAGGTCCCACTGCAAGGCATGGTTTGGACCACTTCAGAACAGTTACTGTTTTTGGACCACTTTGGGACCACTTTGGGACCACTTTGGGACCACTTTGGGACCGATTGGAAGTTGGGACTGAAGTCGGTCTCTGTTGATCTCTGTAGGCATCTAGTGGCTGGTTGTAGAATGTTTTGATAAGTTTTCCGGACGTTTTCCATTTCTGTTTTGCTTGAAGGAACTCCTACTAGTGGACTGCATACCATCTTGAGGGAGGTCCCACTACCGTAGCACTGGGCAAGGCCAATGCCCAAACCTGGATGACATCAATGCCACATGTTTCGCAGGTTCACTACAAGGTTTTGGGCAGAGAAGAATAGGAGAAAGGCACAAACAAGAAAAAAAATAAAAACCTCACGCCCAGAATAACGGACCAGTGCTTCCCAGCCATCAGACCAGAAGTGATCGGTTGGCAGGTGTCACCACACACTGGCACACAGTGAAAATAATAACTACTGTGTTCACCCGAAATAGATCGCCCAGTAATTATGACCGTATCTGGGCTGAAATTTGTGCCGAATACAGCTATAGTGACCAGGCGTTCTATTTGGGTGAAGACGGTAGAGGGGCAGCAGCCATTTTGGTTCGGTTGCCCTAAGCCTCCGATTCTTTTTCGGAGAGGCTCAACCGTGATTCTCAAGTTGGCTGGGGCCATGTACTGGTGGTGGTCCAAGGCACCACTGCACCCC